ATATATAATGTAATATATATAAAATAATGTACTATATATAATGTAATATATATAAAATAATGTACTATATATAATGTACTATATAATGTACTATATATAATATAATGTACTATATATAAATATATATAATGTAATATATATAATGTACTATATATAATATAATGTACTATATATAAATATATATAATGTACTATATATAATGTACTATATATAATATAATGTACTATATATAATGTACTATATAATGTACTATATATAATATAATGTACTATATATAAATATATATAATGTAATATATATAATATAATATACTATATATAATATTATATAATGTAATGTACTATATATAATGTACTATATATAATATAATATATATAATGTATTTAATGTACTTACTAACTTTTTTTTTAAACGACATATAACAACAATAAAAATACAACTTTGATGTTGTTTTGATATCTTGTATAGTTAGTAGTAGCTTCTTTTAGTGTGTTCGCGTGTTTATGATCAGAAGGTATAAATAGACCCCACCTTACTGTGGCTGCTACGTGCTACGTGCTACGGGTGAGCGTATTGCGTCATTTCCTGTTGTCCGCTGTACTGTGTTGCTCGGTGCTGCTCGTTGGAGCTAAAAGCTTAATTGTTAATTCTGCCTAGTTTCTCACGACTTACGACTGTTGTTTCCAACACACACTGTACGTTCAGACAAACAGAAGTAATCGAAAAGCACTTTTTCTCTCTGTAGCGACAAACCTGCTGAACAGTTTAGTTTAGTTTACCGACTCTTAGCTTAGCTTAGCTTAGCAGTTAGCTTTGTTTACGCTGGCTTCTCCCTCTGCTGCTCCACGTGTCAGATGTTAAGTTACGAAGTTACGCTCGTTTAGTGATAATGATACATGTAAGAAATGTAGTTTATTTGTAGCTTTGGAGGTGAGTTAGTCTGTACCTGTAGCTCCCGAGCCGTCTGAGTGAAGCACATGGTTCCCCACCAAACACTTCCCCTTCTCCCCACTCAGCCACACACACACACACACACCACACACACCTGCTGAGAATCAAACTGATTATTGGAGACTCCGTAGTCCGAAACGTTTGGACGGTGCAGCTCCATTATCTAGAAACACAGCAAAGGTTATAAATCCAGAACCTGGAGAACAACAGAGTTCAGAGCTGCAGCCTCCAAATCTGTTTCAGTGAATGATATCAGATCAGCTTATTGATTTACTTTGTGTGACTGAAACCTGGCTGTGTGTTGAATATGTTAGTTTAAATGAATCCACTCCTCCCAGTCGTTTAGTACTCAACTCATATCTTGATATTGATTAGCTGAATGGCGAGACTCGATATTCTACAATTCACTTAGCAGACTCTTTTATCCAAAGCGACGTACATCAGAGAGTAAGAACAACACAAGCAAGGATCTAGAAAAAAGGGAACAATGTCAGTAAGAGCAAACGATCAGCTTTGAGTCTGATTGGACACACAGGTGCTGACAGGAAGTGACCAGAGGCAAAGCACAACATTGAGGGCAGTTCTTGAGAGCTCTAATCAGTATAGAAACCATCTTATAAGTCGTCGTTATCAAACAAAAACCATCGTCATTACCATCATCATCATCAATAATATGGAGACCATCATCATTAAGTTAGTAGGTATTCATGAAAGAGCTGGGTCTTTATACATATCTATATATATCGATATGTATTTGATTAACAGTGAAAACACATGTAAACTACCTGTTTGTGAATTTAAAAAAGTAATATTATTAAATAAAAAAGTTCCTTAAATACAATAAAAGAGAGAGAGGAGGAGCAGACAGTCATCATCAGTGAGATGAGAAAAAGGTGACCTGGCACCTCTGTAACGTTATTTTAATACAACATAAACTATATACATGTTAATGATATTGTCTTACTCTATATCTTGTTTAAAAATATATCGATATATCTTTAAAACTCAATATATTTCCCAGCCCTAACTCGTACACCTCAAGACACTGGATGAGGTGTAGCAGCTATTTTTAATTCTAGTCTTCTAGTTAACCATCGACCAAAGCTGAATTTTTCTTCTTTTGAAAGCCTTGTTCTTAGTCTTTCACATCCAGTCTCAAGAACCTTTCAGCCAGTTCTAGTTGTTGTAGTTTACCGCCCTCCTGGCCCATATTCTGAATTTATATCTGAATTTGCAGAATTATTTATCAGATTTAGTCCTTAGCAGTGATAGAATAATTGTCGTAGGTGACTTCAATATGTGGATGTTGATAATGAGAGCCTTAGCACAGCTTTCATGTCACTATTAGACTCTATTGGTTTCACCCAGGGTGTAAACGAACCTACTCATCGTTTCAACCACACCCTGGAGCTTGTTTTAGCTTATGGCACTGACATCCAATTACTTTGTCTTACCAGAATTATCTCTGCTTAATAAAAATGTGCTCTCTAGAAGTTTATCTGATAGTGCTGTAGCTGGATTTAAGGAAGCTGTGGCCGTGTTTCAACCCAGTTGTAAACTCTCTTATGATAGCTTTAGTCCCTCTCAGCTAGATCAGTTTGTTGATAGTGCAGTGGATTCGCTGAGAGTTACTCTTGATTCGATTGCTTTCCTAAAACAGAAGGTTATCAAGCTCCATGGTTCAACTCAGAAACCCGTACTGTAAAACAAACGTCGTGAAAGTCATAATAAATATAAGGCTCTGCGTCACGCTCGAGCTGCCTACTACTCCTCTCTACTCGAGGAAAACAAAACTAACAACAAACTGTAGCCAGGCTGACAGAGAGTCATAGCTCCATTTTTCAACAACAAAATTCTAGACATCAGAGACAAAATTGGTAACCTCCTGTCCTTACCTGGTGGGGCAGCCAGATGTGATACAGTAGGTGATGACAGACTCAATGGCTGACCTATAGAAGTTTACCAGCAGCTGTTGTGGAAGTCGTGCTTTGTTCAGGCACCTCAGGAAGTGGAGCCTCTGGAGTCCTTTCTTGGCCATCGCTGCGGTGTTTACAGACCAAGTTGCGTCCTGGCTGATGTGGACACCGAGGTACCTGAAGCTCTGCACGACCTCCACTTTCTCACCGTTGATGTTAATGGGGCGGTGGACGTTGGGCTCCAGCCTCCTAAAGTCGAGGATCACTGTATATGCACAGAGAGAGAGAGATATTAGATATGATCAATATGTCTTTACTGGCAGGCTATGTACCACAGTCATTTAAAGTAGCGGTAATCAAACCTCTACTTAAAAAGCCTACTCTAGATTCAGGAACTCTGGCTAACTACAGGCCTATATCCAACCTTCCTTTTATCGCAGAGATCCTGGAGAAAGTGGTAGCTAAACAGCTGTGTGATTTTCTCCATGACAACAGTTTATTTGAGGAGTTTCAGTCAGGATTTAGAGTCCACCATAGCACTGAGACTGCACTAGTTAAAGTTACAAACAATCTACTTCTAGCTTCAGACGGGGCTTCTCTCTGTGCTCGTCTTGTTAGATCTTAGTGCTGCTTTTGACACCATTGACCATCAGATCGTATTATACAGACTAGAACATTTACTTGGAATTACAGGGACTGCTTTAAGTTGGTTTGAATCCTACTTATCAGACCGATCTCAGAAACGTTTGGCTTCTTAACTCAGACAAGACTGAAGTTATTGTGCTAGGCCCTAAAAACCTCAGAGAGACTTTTTCTAGTGATTTGACTGTCCTTAATGACATCAGCCTGGCATCTAGCACCACTGTTAGGAATCTAGGAGTTCTATTTGATCAAGATGTGTCTTTTAGCTCTCACATCAGGCAAATTTTAAGAACAGCCTTGGATTATTGTAATTCTCTTTTGTCAGGGTGCTCTGGTGGGTCTCTAAAGACCCTTCAACTAGTCCAGAACGCTGCAGCTCGTGTACCAGAGTACTGGTTCTGGTACTCCTGACCAGAACGAGGAGAAGGGACCACAATAGAATTCAAGATCCTTCTTCTCACTTACAAAGCTCTAAATGGCCAGGCACCATCTTATCTTAAGGAGCTACTAGTGCCGTACTGTCCCTCGAGAACATTACGGTCCCAGAATGCAGGCCTGCTAGTGGTACCTACAGTCTCTAAGTGTACTATGGGGGGTAAAGTCTTCAGTTATCAGGCTCCTCTCCTCTGGAATCATCTTCCAGCCAGTGTCCGGGAGGCAGACACAGTCTGTATTTTTAAGAATATACTTAAAACTTTCCTTTTTGATAAATCTTATAGTTAGTGCTGGTGCTGGTGTAGACCAGCTCCTAGTTATGCTGCTATAGGCTTAGACTACCGGGGGAACTGGCACCTGGAGCTCCTCTCTCTCTGTATCTGTCTGTAAATCTCAGTCACTAACCACCTACTTTCCTGGGAGCTCTTGAGCTCTCTTAGGCTCCTCGAGATGTCCTGCCAGAACAACCCCCCCTTGCTCCCTATCCCTCTTCCTGCATTTTATCCCATATCTCCCCCTATCCCTTTCCAAGCCCGGCGCAGTCTAGGCCTGTGAAGGCTGTTTCGTCATGAGCCGGGGATCCAGCCGAAGATTTCTGACTTTTAATAAGCAGTTTTTTCTTACTACTGTAACTTTTGCTGCTTTGCTAAAATGCTCATGATGGATAGGCTGGATCTTTGTAACATAACAATGAGTAAGGTCTTTTCACCTGCTCTTTTGTAATGTTAAAAGACAAAGAGTAAAGTATTTTACCTGCTGTTTGTAAAGTGTCTTGAGATAACATTTGTTTTGAGTTGGCGCTCTACAAAATAAAGATTGATTGAACTGACTTATTGTTTTACAAGCCTGTCATTGAAAGTTTCCCATTTATTCAAACACTAGAATACAGAAAGAAAAAAAACTACATATTCCTCTGTTGAAAAAAACTACAAACATACCTATGATGAAAAGAACCCACAAACATCCATTAATGATAAAAAAACAACAACTAAGGATTCTTCTAATGAGCTACACATGGTTATTTGGTATACTCTTAAAGGTACAGGTAAAGGTACTGCTACAGGAAGTGACTGATCAAACAGGAAGTGCCTGGCCTATAAAGGAAGCAGGAAGTTGAGGGTTCCTTCTTTGATCTTCAAGGCTGCACAGAGCAGGCAGCAACAGAAATGTAAGTTCCTTCACTGTATTGAAGTTAAGGTTCAGCATGTAGCTTAGCATTAGCCTTGTTATAATTTGTTATGTATTGCATCTGATGTAGCATGCCATGTGGCTTAGCATTAGCATGTAGCTTAGCATTAGCCTTGTTATAATTTGTTATGCATTGCATCTGATGTAGCATGCCATGTGGCTTAGCATTAGCATGTAGCTTAGCATTAGCAACAACTAAGCTTTATTTTGTGTGTTAGTTTATTGTTTGAATTTCTTTATCTAGAACTTTAGTAATGACTAAACTAAATGTTCTTGTGTCTTGTAGTTTTCACTTCTTCTTCAATCTGGTGAATAAATCAAAGGAGTCACTAACATCCTGACTCACTCATCGTTGAATGGAGTTTGTCTGACTGTTAACCTACCTGCACCAAACACGTGGAGGACTGTACACACACCTGTGGAGGATGTAGAGGACCATCTCTTTGCTTCCTGCACTGGCAGCGTGATGACGTCAACTGCAGCCGGACGAGTCGAGTGAGGTGAGGTGGGCTCCCTCCAGGTGGGGCTCCTGCAGCTGATGATTCAATTCAAAGACACATGTGAGTATGTAGAAATGAGGTGCAAAGGTCTGCAGTGAGAGATGAAACTGTCATTCACCTTTAAGTCTTTGTTCTTCACACACTCAACCAGCAGCTCTACACACAGAGAGAGAGAGAATATTAAAAACCCAGTTGGAAACTCTCTCATGATTGCTTTAGTCCCTCTCAGTTAGATCAGTTTGTTGAGAGTTACTCTTGATTCGATTGTTCCCCTAAAACAGAAAGTTATCAAACAGCAGAGACTCAGAATCCTGTACTCTAAAACTCAGTCCATTTTTATTCACTTGTCTCCAAATCATTAGAAAAGTTATCTCCAGACACTTTACAATAACAAACATTTTGAAGTTTAAACTAATTGTGATGTGTTTTGTTTTTTTTAACACTTTTAGGGGCAGCCTGACCAAAACAAGATGAAGAGCTGTTAGCATGTCTGCTACACCACGCTGCCTCACCTGCTTCCTTCAACATTTGGTGAGTAATTTTCTTGGCTATTGTTTATTTTAACTGTTTGAGTCACAGTCATATTCTTTTTTTTTCCCTCTTTTTTTAAACATATTTTTATCCCATATTGTCATATTCTTGATGCTAAGTAGGTGCAGATAAAACAACAAACACATGCTTTAAGGCTTAATGACATCACAGCTACATATTTAAAACACTAAATGTTGATCTGTGATTACTTTTTATACATTTGAAAGATGTGTAAACATGTCTTATCTCAAATTAACAACCACCTTAGTTTTGGCGTGATTTTAATCTCAACACTCACTTTGATGTAGATTCTTTTGACTTAATTAAATGATTAAAATTAGTTATGTATCATAATGGCCCATTTTACTTTTCATGTTTTGTACAATCCTAGCTGTAAATTACTCACAGATGCATCCTGACATGAACTTTAAACCCTGATATCTTCGTTTCTTGTGTCTTATATTCCAGGTGTTTCCTCGCTGCAGCTGGAAGGATCTTCTGAGGATTAAAGTTTACTTGTTAGTTTTACTGTCTGTTTTCTCTTAAGCCACTTTCATAAATAAAATTTTAAAGTCTTTATTTGTTTCATGTTTGTGTTGTCAGCATCTTTCATTCCTAATAGATGTCTTGTAGTTGTTTCCTTCTTTAACCACACATAGCTGAGAACTTGAGGTGTTAGATTTGTTTCTATTTGAAGCGAAGTTTAAATATTTTGTATTACGAGAAACAAGTTTCCTGAATGACAACAGAAAGCTGTACCCTAAATAAAACAACATTATGATACAGACCCCCCCCACAAAGCTGATCACTGATGCAGAATGGATAAAGCAGTTTTATTACAATAAAACACTAAACAGACATCAACTGTTTTTGTACATGTGTCACAGGCATCCCCATTGGGTAGGAGACTCAAAGCTTTCTTAATGTATTATTATGTTCCAGGTTTAGGTCATAAAAGTTTAGACTCAGTTATTTTAATCATTTGATCCTTTTCGTAGTGGAGGAACATCAGGTGTTTAATGAAATACTACATTTTATAATCCTTAGGTATCGTTAGTCAACAGCTTAGCTACAGAGTTATCAGTATGTTGATGTTAAAAGCTGATTTAAGTAAGCAAGCGCTATATCGAGGTCTAAACTAAAAGGAGGTCATAACTCCCCTTAAATCAGCTTTAACATCAACATACTGATAACTCTGTAGCTAACACAAGTTAAGCTGTTGACTAACGATACCTAAGGATTATAAAAATGTAGTATTTCATTAAACACCTGATGTTCCTCCACTCCAAAAAGGATCAAATGATTAAAATAACTGAGTCTAAACATCTATAAAGACCTAAAACCTGGAACATAATAAAACAACATTAAGAAAGCTTTGAGTCTCCAACCTGAGCAGGAAGACGGCCACCGACGGAAGATCCTCCTGGAAGACGTCAACAGAGTTCCTGTTGGAGAAGAAAAACTAATTTTAGTTCATCAAGTTAATAAAACACAGAAAATGTTTGTGATTATACAACATTGTGATGATTGGAATAAACCTGGGTTTTATCATTCACTGTAAATGATCTGTGTTTAACTTCACTTTAAGGGTTTTGGATGAGACCGAAGCAAACTTAAATTCAAAGTTTAAATGTAGAATATAAAATAGAAACATTGAGTATAAGGTCTTAAGAAACATCTTTACCTTACATTAACTGTCACAAGAACACAAACTCTAATTAAAGTTATAGTTTGAAAATAAATACATTTTATCGTTTATAAATCACTTTATATAGAGAGGGCGCCCTCTGGTGGTTAGTTGGTTACTGCACTTAAATAATAAATTAATTAGACTTTGAATTAAACACAGAAAGCTTTTACTTTTTAAATTAAATAAATGAAGTCTATTCATATTACTTAAACAAGATAAACATTTAATGTCTGAGCTCTGTGAACAGTAATGTTGAGAAAATCTTTAACATTATTTTTTTTTGTGCAATAAATAAATAAATAATTTTACCTCGGGTCAATAAATTTAAATTCAGGTTATCGTTTTATTTAAACTCTTCAAACTAATATTAGTTTAAATTATAAGTTTTGTTTTTAGAGTTTACTTTTAGCCGGTGTTGTGGAGTTAAATAATTAGTTTAAGAGAAAACAAGTTTAAAAGTGACCTTCATAATATTGATAAACGTTATCATCATCTTACTCTGACGATGTTTCCTCTTAACAAACATTTGTAATGACGTCAGCATGAGCGTTAGCCCACGTGTTAGCATTAGCATAAAGACGCAGGTATTTCTATTTTGTGTCTTTTCACACAAACTGGACTTTTAAAGACTCACTGAGTATCTAGACTTCATGTTTCCTTCCCCGGCTCCTTCTTCTTCCAACATGCTGCCACGCTGCACGCGGTCCGCACCGCTTACCTGCTCGAGACAATGATATACACACCTGAGAACACCTGAACACACCTGTGCGTGATTACCGGAAGCTTCAACCGGAAGTGACGCAGAACGTTTCTATCGAAGAAATTAAAAAGTTATAAATAAGACGACACATAAACAAGACTAAGTCAAAAATCAAATGTTTTATTAATAAAAAATATTTATTAATGTAATTTACTTGTTTTTATGTTTGTTTCTTTTAACTCTTGGTAACCTAGCAACAAGAGAAAGTCAAACTCGGTCACCATGGTAACATTAACCGCCCGACTAACTGCGTTCGTTAGCAGGACGAAGCTAACCTGTTTTCCGGTCTTTAGGACACTGACTGAATTCTTACCCACAGATAAATTCAGTGTTCATGATGTTTACCTCCAGTTTCTCTCTTCCTCTCCCTGTCGTTCTCCAAAGTGTCCAAGAAGCAGATAAATTAGTTAGTTTGAGATACTAATGTGTAAAGATGGAGTTTAAAGGTGAAGTTGCGCCCTCCTGTGGTCACTCTGTGAATTACTGCATTCGGAAGTTGTTTTTCACTTTTCTTGTTCTAGATACAACAAACTCAAACTGCTTTCTTTGTTTTATTTCTTTATAAATAAATGTGACTTGACTTAATCACAGATAAGATATTTGCTTTTTTTTTAAATATATTTTTAAATTATAAAGCAACTGTTTACTGCTTATGTTAATTAAAATCCATTGTCTGTTAATCACACGTGCATGTTAGTCTCTCAAAGAATCTGAAGTGTAACTTCACTGATTGCATATTCTTGTGTACGTTGGAGCGTTTCACTCCTGAGGAAGAAAGCAGATTGTGTTCCCATGACATATTAGGCAATATATTTTTCTTATTTTCTTATTAGTGGTAGATAATTAAAGACTACAATAAACAAGTTTCCTCAAAATGAAAGAAAACAGACAATGAAAGCTGTAAACTACTATAACTGAATAAAACACAGCTGGCAGATAAGGGTTTTTGTTTTGAATGTCTTTTTAAGCCTTTTCTGCTTTTTGGCCTCGTAATTATCAGGCAAAAATCTAAATTCTTTGACTTCCAAGTAGAGTGAATGTAATCACTCAAATGTGTCTAGAAGGTGACTGGTTACTGCACTGACCTGTATCTAACTTAAAAGTAGTGAGGGTCTTTACCACACCTCTAAGAGCAGATAAAATGATCATCAGAGTTCAACCACTGATGAAACAAAGACACTGAAAGAGAGAACAGAAAGAAGACTTGGATGAAATGAAGAACCTTCTCAGTTGACAGTTTTGGTCTCACCCCAAGTCTGCACTCATCTGAAAAAGAAGGAAAGCAGAGCAGAATTGATTTGCTTTCTTCAGAAGAAAAAAAAGAAAAGAGAGTGTTGTTTACAATCAGAGGACAGGTTATTCTGGCTGAGACAAACCCCTTTAGAAGACAGACTAAAGGGGTTTCACACCTGCAGAAAACTCCTGAAAACTCTTGATATTTGCAGGAGGAGCTGTATGTGTGAATGCAAACGGCCAAATGTTTTCGTTTGGACTTCACCCGGAGTTTCTCCTGACAGAACCCTACTGTAGTATTCTTTTCAGCAGTTAGTCAGAGTGAGCTGATGTGAGAACGCAGCAGAATATTATCTGGAATATTCACCTCGGGCCAATGGGAGGGGGAGTGACGTTTATATCCTGTGACTGCTGCTCGACCACAGACTGTCTGCACGCCACCTCTACCATCTCCGTGCTCTAATCAACCTGCTGCTGCATGTTTCCTGTTCTCCAGTTTGTTCTTCTCCACTCTTTAGTTCACATTGTGATTCTGTTCAACCACACGTAGCGTTGACTTAAAGACAAATATTCTCATTATAGCGTCGTATACCTCAGGAGACCCCTCGCCGCCCCCCCTCCTGTCTGACAGTTGTAGTCCCCAGCTGTGAGGTGGATATGTGAACAACCAGATCAGGAGAATCTCTGGAGCAGTCCTCCTGAAATGATCTAGATATTTTCAGGAGTGCAGATGATTCAATTCAAAGACAATGTTTAAAGAACCTCAAAATGTTGTCAACGGAGCAAAGCGTGACACTGACGCACCGCAGCGCCACGCACATGTGAGTATGTAGAAAGGTCTGCAGTGAGAGATGAAACTGTCACTCACCTTCTTTAAGTCTTTGTTCTTCACACACTCAACCAGCAGCTCTACACACACAGAGAGAGAGAGAGAGAGAGAGAGAATGTTAAAAATGTTTGATTTGCAGTTTAAATTGGGGAATTCATTAAAAATAAAAACCTCATCAGAGTTCATCAAGGACTGTGAGAACAGACAAACATGTCGTCAATGTGATATTCATCTTCCGCTGCTTCACTTTCATTCATCCACAACACAACTTGGATCATCAGCTTCATAACTACTGTTTACGTCTGCGAGGTTTAGCACGCCACAACTTGTAAACTGAGCTCTCAGCCTGACACATGTCACAGCGTGCTGTTGTATACATGTATACATGTACTGTGTGTGTGTGTGTGTGTGTGTGTGTGTGTGTACTCTGCTCTGTCAGTGAGGCTGAACTCCAGTGGAGCTGACAGCTTGCTGTGACAGAGAGCCTTAAACAAACCCGCTGTGTCGGCCGCTGCACACCAGATATGCCTTTGATTCCATTAGGCCTCAGAGTGTGCTGTGACTTTTTCCCACTTAACACCCCGGTGATGATGTAAACAGCAAAGTTTTGATCCTCTGCTCTGTGATGTGTCGTCAGCAACATTTTCTTCAACAATCATTACATTTTGGATACAAAGAATCCTGATTCACAATCCCTAAAAGCTGACTGTAAATCAAACATTCACACACACACACACACAAGCGTTGCAACCTGCGTTTCCAGCACTGTCCCGTTCCACATGAAGCCCGTTCTTGTGGTCTCTCGGTATTTCCAGTCAGCCACACTCACTCAAACACTGCCGTCCACTGAAAACATGCCAATCACACACACACACACATGAAATGACTTGATGCGTCCCGATGTTGTGAAATTGTGTTTTTGTTGTTGTATAATACAGAATCTGAAGCGTCCTGTCGTCCTGTTTTTATTCTACTGTGTTAATTCTCCTGACAGAGACATCGTTCTCTGTTGCCTGGATACAGAATACACATTTAAATTAGCTTACAGCTAGCTCTGTGGAGCTAACAAGCTGTCCTATGGCTCTTATATTCACATCCACTAAGAGCTTGGAATACATTTTAAATGCATTTTTAAATCACCTCAGTCACAGTGTTTGTGGACACTTGAAAACAACATAATCCTGATAATCATTTCTGCCATCATCGAGCAGCCCAAGGTGACATCACACATTATACGTCCTTTTCTTGAATACAATCTTTGGCCTCAATAACGACCTAAGAACTGTGTGTGTGTGTGTGTGTGTGTGTGTGTGTGTGTGCATGTTCTACCCTCAAACAGATCACAAATGACCTGATCAATTCATTATGTTTAACATCCTGCACCGCCCACTTTTACCTCAACATCCAACACGCTGTGCACATCTGTGGACGTGCAGTACAGCAGGATGGACGGCCTTATTCACAGCCAGACACACTTCTTAACAACCCAACAAAAACCTGCAGAGCAGCACTAAAGTTTGCCTCTGCTACCTCTAACTTTGGCCTGTCGCATTAGTGACCAAAACACAACATGATAGGCTTCAGTGGAAACACAGCAGCTTGATCAGCACCCCTCGATTCATAATGACTCCACAGTTACCCCTTCAGATTCGTCCCTTCAGTGTGTGAAAACCACCTACAGTTGGTCGTACGGGGAGACGGAGGGGTCAGACTAACAGGACGAGGGACCGTGGCTCCTGAAAGAAAAACAAAATCTGTGTTACAGTCTACAACTTAACCACTTCACATCAATCAAGAAAAACAACTTCTTACATTTACAGAAGGAACCGGTCTGATTCATTATGGGCATCAGGTCGGATATGGACGTTATTTACAATCACATAAACAGCTGTTCAGTCTGATGTGATCTTTTTATGAGCTGCAGAACCAGTTTGAACTGTAACATTTGTAAATGCTTTTTTCAGGATTCTGTTATTTTGGGTTTTTTTTACAAAAAAAACTAACTCTGCTTGATTTTTCCAGACGTGCATTCAAAGATACGATCAACACGTCTTTGTGCTTCCTGTCCTGGCTGCTACAAGCCACTCGACGGCTCTCCATCCGACTGGTACAAGGCAGCGAGCGGAGAATCCAGGCCTGCAGTGTGCCAGCACAGCGCTCAGCTCTCTGAGAGGCTGCAGCACCTGACAGATGCCACTCGGGAGAGAAAATCCCACGAGGGCCTGAAAAGATCGACCGCATGACGGGAAGCCAGCGACGCAGGAGGAGAGCGGAATACCAAACGAGGGGAAAAGGGAATATCTGTTTCTAATCACTTCATTTATTCACAAAAAGAGATTTACTAAATATCTGACAGCTGATGATCTCACCATGTAACTATCAACAAATAGAATGATTTCATACTTTTACATCATTTCTAGATCCTCTGCATGACAGTCACCCTTTACTCTGTTGTTTATATTTCATCATCCTGTGGTCTGGTCCTAAAATCTTGTTTTTATATTTCATTTGAGGTTTCTCCAACTTCTCTGTCTCGTGAAGGACTTTATCATCATATGAAGGTTTGGACGATAAGGACCTAAACTCATATCTCCACATTGTTCAGTTGAATGGTGATACTCTGTATATCCATGTGTCTTATATTAACAGTGAGCTGCACAATGTCAACATGTTTGTGAAATTACAAAGTTATATTAGAATACAAAAATGTTCCTCAAATTCTATCAAATACAGAACAAATGTTCTGTTTCTGCTAAACTAAATACAGAGAGAGAGAGAGGAGGAGCAGGAGGGAGAGAGAGAGAGAGAGAGAGAGAGGAGGAGCAGGAGGGAGAGAGAGAGAGAGAGAGAGAGAGAGAGGAGGAGCAGGAGGGGGAGAGAGAGAGAGAGGAGGAGCAGGAGGGAGAGAGAGAGAGAGAGAGAGAGAGAGAGAGAGGAGGAGCAGGAGGGGGAGAGAGAGAGAGAGAGAGAGAGAGAGGAGGAGCAGGAGGGGGAGAGAGAGAGAGAGGAGGAGCAGGAGGGATGGAGGGAGGGAGAGAGAGAGAGAGAGAGAGAGAGAGAGAGGAGGAGCAGGAGGGAGAGAGCGAGAGAGAGAGACAGAGAGAGAGAGACAGACAGAGGGAGAGAGAGAGAGAGAGAGAGAGAGAGAGAGGAGAGAGAGAGACAGACAGAGGAGAGAGAGAGAGAGAGAGGAGGAGCAGTAGGGAGAGAAAGAGAGAGGGAGAGAGAGAGAGGGAGAGAGAGAGAGGAGCAGGGGAGAGAGAGAGGGGAGCAGGGGGAGAGGGAGAGAGAGAGGAGGGAGAGAGGGAGAAAGAGAGGAGGAGCAGGAGGGAGAGGAGCAGGGGAAGAGAGAGAGGACGGAGAGTGAGAAAGAGGGAGAGGAGCAGGGGGAGAGAGAGAGAGACAGAGGAGCAGGGGGGAAAGGGAGAGAGAGAGAGAGAGAGGAGCAAGAGGAGCAGGGGGAGAGAGAAAGAGAGAGAGAGAGAGAGAGACAGAGGAGCAGGGGGAGAGAGAGAGAGAGAGAGAGAGAGAGGAGCAGGGGGAGAGAGAGAGACAGAGAGAGAGAGGGAGAGAGAGAGACAGAGAGAGAGAGGAGCAGGAGGGAGAGAAAGAGAGAGAGAGAGAGAGAGAGAGAGAGAGAGAGGGAGAGAGAGAGAGACACACAGACTGACCAACACTGAGATTAAAGTAAAACCCTGGACGAGGCTGCGTGCTCCTCACAGTCTCAACTGTTGGTACTTCAGACTAATCGAACTTCAACATGAATTTTTAACTCTACATCTTCTTCTAAATGAATCGTGAAAACCTCTTCAGCAGTTACAAACTGAAAAAGCAGATTTACTATTAATATAAAAACACTCTGGATACCTGGCTGCCATGAATCCATATAATACACCACACAAAAAAAATCACAACACTATGCTGTATTGATTTTTCCACAACCTCTAATTAGTATGACACTGAATTGACAACACAGTAAATCAGAATTACTTTTATCAACCCGCTACTGTGACCGGGAACTTGCAACAACAACACACCTGTATTTATCCTGAGATAAATATGCTTCCTGATCTATAATAATTATGGTTCTTTTTGTTAAAAGGTTATTTTTCATTATCATTTCAAAGTTTTAAAATGTGTACTTCAGTGTTAAAAACTCTCCTCACAATAATCACTGTTATTATATTTTTGTTTCGTTTTGATGCTGTTTTCATACATTAATCAGACAGTTTTTATTATTATGAAATGCTACAATGACTTTATATTTGTCCAGCAGGTTGTGTGTCTCTTCTTCACACGTTCAGGTAAATTAGAGCTTTCAGGATGTTCAGCAGGATGTAAACTAGGTTTATATTATTCATTTATTAAAACATTTCTCACATTTGTTCTGAAAGGATCCGATCAGTTTTGCCGTAGTACGAGGGGGTTAAATCTCTCTCGCGCTCGCCTCGCGTCGGCTTCAGTGAAACAAACAAAAGGAGCGCTCTGAATGGGCACGTGCTCCGGGCGTCAGTCACCTGTTTCCTAGCAACGGGCACACAACAGAAAGGCACCTGTGGCTCTGAATAGGAGGCTGTGGAGCTCTTAGTTTGACACACACGCACAAAAAAAAAAAGCAGGGACTAATTACAAAAATATATATACAGACTTTCATTAATATCAGAAGCACTTTTAGATTTAATTCAACAGATACATCTTCATAAGAAGGCTCTAAATGAAATATTTGTTTTTAAAAATATACACCAAAGTCTGTTGTTAAATTAAAGTAGTTATTATATTTTGCTGTTTCTGTGAAGCTTATTCAGGATTTAATGAATCATGTTTACTTTATCAATATTTATTTTCTAATTCTAACATATTTCTGTCTGCTGCTGTTTTCTAAATTATTAAAGTTTTATTTGTTGTAAAATCTTTTTTTTTTATTTTTTATTTAAAATATATTGAAATGTGATGTAATCATTAAAACAAAACTAAACTTTCAATCCGGAGATCAAACTGTTGACATGTTGTGGGTTCGTTTTTTTTTTTTAGCTTCACGCACAAAAAACAGATGACAGAGGGAGTCATTTTTTTTTTTTTTTAAGGTCTCGCGCTCTGACGTCACCAGAGCCTATAGCCCCCCCGCATGCAAATCACGTCTGCGCTCGAGCCTCTCCATTGGCCGTCTCGCGCTCATTTAGCTGCTGTCAGAGCGCGCGGTCCCGGGCACGCTCCGGTAACTTTTCCCAGTTCAGCTTCAACCAAAGTAAAGCTCCAACAAACCAGTTCAGCTTGAACCAGTAAAGCTTCTCTTCTGGCCGCTCGTGGATGACAGGAACAAAAAAAAAAAAGAGGAACTTTATACCTGAGAGGATTTTTTTCAGCGCAGCACCTTTTCATCGTTTCTTCTTCTCGTCTTCTCGGAGGATCAGTCTGAATGTTTCTGCGTATCTGACTCCAACACAGCGAGGTGAATGTACAGCATCATGATGGAGACGGACTTGCATTCCCCCGTGGTGCCCCAGACCAACCCGGCCAACCCGGGGGGGCACACGGGAGGAGGAGGAGGCGGCGGCGGGGGGAAAGTCCCCCAGGACAGAATCAAGAGACCCATGAACGCCTTCATGGTGTGGTCCCGGGGCCAGCGGAGGAAGATGGCGCAGGAGAACCCCAAAATGCACAACTCGGAGATCAGCAAGAGGCTGGGCGCGGAGTGGAAGGTGATGACGGAGGCCGAGAAGAGGCCGTTCATCGACGAGGCGAAGCGGCTCCGGGCCATGCACATGAAGGAGCACCCGGACTACAAGTACCGGCCGCGGAGGAAGACCAAGACGCTCCTCAAGAAGGACAAGTACTCTCTGGCCGGGGGGCTCCTCGGCTCCACGGGGATGGGTGGAGGGCAGCGGCTGGACAGCCCGGGAGGAGGGCACGCGGGGGCAAACTCCGGCTACGCCACGCACGTGAACGGCTGGGCGAACGGCACGTACTCGGGGCAGGTGGCTGCGGCGGCGGCGGCGGCTCACGCCATGATGCAGGAGGCGCAGCTGGCGTACACGCAACACCCGGGCTCCGGTGCGCACCCGCACCACCCGCACGCCCACCACCACCCTCACCACCACCCGCACAACCCGCAGCCCGTGCACAGGTACGACATGAGCGCCTTATCGTACAGCCCCATCTCAAACTCTCAGAGCTACATGAGCGCGTCCCCGCCGGGCTACGGAGGCATCACCGGCTACACCCACCAGCACCAGAGCTCCGGGGTGTCTCCGGTGTCCGGGGCCCTCGGGGGGACTTTGGGCTCCCTCGTGAAGTCTGAGCCGAGCGTGAGCCCCCCGGTGTCTGCAGCGCGCGGCCCGCCGTGCCCAGCGGGGGACCTGCGGGACATGATCAGCATGTACCTGCCGACCGGAGAGGTGGCGGGGGACTCGAGCGTTCACAGCAGACTGCACGTGCTCCACCCGCAGCACTACGCGAGCAGCGGCTCAGCTCCGGTAAACGGGACGGTCCCCCTCACTCATATTTAATGTCTCCGTGTTAAAGCACCAAAACAACCAAATATTGACGCGTAGTTTGGCACAGGCTGCTGCTGAGGAAGGTGAAGAATTGTAAATTACGAGGCGCTTAGAGCCATAAATGCAATCACTTTGATCAAACTTCTTTTTTATTTTGAATCTATATTTTAATTTCACTCTCATGATGGATTTCTGTCTGTCCCACTTACACACACACTGCTCTCTGGAACAGGGCATGCCAACTTTTGACACGATTTTAAATTATAATCCGTGAAGGCTGGTGCGTTTTTTTTAAAGGTTAATTTTTTTTCCGACTTTTTTCAGTGGAATTAAAGGCACCAGCTGTGTGAGCGTATAATAGACGCGGTGTGGAGGATGTGTTTAGACCGAGTTGAAGGCTGCGGGTTGAATTGATTTCCACTTTTTAATGCTTGTAAAACATGTGAGTCAGTCGTTGTAATTTGAATTTGTTTCTGTTGTTGTACAATCTTGTAAATTGTGAATAAATAGGCCTACTGAAAACGCCTGATGAAATGGTATAATTTACAGAAACAGCTCGGGAAACACGACGTTTAAGGTTTTTATTTCACCCTCAGAATCATTTCAAAAGCTGCTTTTCTCACCTCTCTAAAGTCAACTTTTTATCACCTGTACTGTCGTGTGCCTCACTCTGTTTCTGCTGCTTCAATAAAGCTTTAAATATATATATTTATTAGAAAAGGTTTTTGTTTTATCGCAGCGACTCAGTCCGTCAAACATTAAAAATGAGGCCAAAAACAAACATTTACACAATTCACGCAGATTATGATCGTTAAAAACATTATATCCTTCATAATTCTGGATTTTAAATGTTTATATCTATTAATATGTAACACATGATTACATTTAGCTTCCGGTCTGATGGATCTATTTTAAAATATAGCGCGAATTAAACCAATCATCCGTTAATAAACAATGTTTTTAAATCCTAATGAGACGCATTTTAACAACATTAAACATGTTGGACTGAATTATAGGGTAATTAGGATTAATAAGGGGAGGGGAGTTATTTAAAATAATGTCTTAAATGTGGAATATATGCCTTAATATTCTTATTTATTTGTTTTTAAATTCCCCTTTTCCTGTTCATATCTGATTTTGTATTTTGGTGATAAACTCGGCCTTAAACCTCAAACATGCTGAACACTTGTTGGTCATGGATTCCTCTGCAGAGATCATTAATGTCCTCACTTTTTTTTATTATCTAGAAGGAAAAGAGAAGACATGTTTCTTTGAAATCAGCTGATTCTGCAGACTGATTTCATGTTTTGTGGTATGTTATGTAAAAGTGATTCTTATTGCAGTAAAAGGGGGTAATGCTGCATGCTTTCAGGTAAAATCCCACCTTGGCTTAGAGAGTGATAATGTAAAGGAAACTCAGCAGGAAGCACTACACTAACCCTGAGAGAAGAAGAAGAAAAGCTGGACTTTTAAGTGCTTGTAAATATTTTTATAAAGTTAGTCCGTTATGATTTCTAATTTTGTTTTAACTAAAATGTCAGAGAATATAAAATGTGGCTGACAAAACATCCTAAAGAATTAGACTAGATTTTTTACAATCGTCCTAATTGTCAAAATAATAAATTCAAGATCAAATCCAAACAGAGAGAAACTGAAAACCTTAAATCCGCAAAGCTCAAAATAAAATGATTTGAAAAGAAAAACCTTTTAAATAAATGACGGAAGAGTACGAACATTCACTGATTGTCATTTCTCTGTTTTCTTGAATTATTATTATTTTTTTCAATGCATGTTAATTTTATTTTGAAGGTTCAATCTCATGTTATGAAATCACTTCTAAAATGTTTTCTCCTCAATCTCTGTTTTATCTTCCTCTCACCTTAAACATCTTCAAATGAATGCTCATCGTTGACGCGTGGTGAGAAATGAAGCGCCTTTAAAACGCCGACTGTTTCTCCCCAGGTCGTTTTACACTCACAGGCCGAGCACAGCTAACTCTCTTTTCTTCTCTACCTGCCCTGCATGAGCTCCTCCACATTTTAAAAGACTAAATCCAAGAGTCCTCAAACCTCCCCCCTCTCCCTCTCCCTCTCCCTCTCCCTCTCCTCACCCCCGGGACAAAACACCTGCATGTGTGTGTGTGTGTGTTAAATGATTTCCTCCTTTGGGCTGAATCAGAGGAGAGAGTCCGAGGAGTGAATGAGCAGAGAGGAGGAGGAGGAGGAGGAGGAGGTTTTTGTGTCGGAGGAGAAAGGGGATTAGTCGGGTGTAAGCTGGGGGGCCGCCCGGGGGTCACCCAAACAAAAAGCTCGGCAAACAACACGGCAGGTTTTATCGCAGTAATTCCCACTCGGGTCTGGACTTTAAACAAAGAGGGCAGCGGGGATAAAAATCAGTCTAATAAAGATGTTTCTCAGGATGTCATAGAGCAGATATTTAAAACATCTTATTTAATAACCTTTTTTTAATTCATATCTAAAAGTGTTTAATTGTCTTTGCTCTAAATTTGAATCCAGAAGTGAGACATCTGTCTTCAAAAATGACACTTTACAACCTTAAATATACAAATACATAAAATAAACATCCCTCACACGGGAAGAAATGAGCAGCTCAGAGCTTTGTGGTAGGAATAATGTTTGAATGTTTTTATGTTTAGTTGAACAACAACACGGCTTAATGTTATTTCATTTGATTTATTTTTGGGCCTTTTTTTTTATCTTTATTGGATCGGAGAGCTGAAGAGAGACAGGAAATGTTGGGATGAGGGGGGGGTGATGTGCAGCAAAGGGCCGAGGTTGGATTTGAACCCACAGCCTCTGTACATGGGGAATGCAACATAACCAGTAGGCCAGTGGTTCTCAACTGGTTTATCCTCAAGACCCATCACCAACTCCTTAAAGACAAATTGCGTCCCAAATATGAATTTTCTTTTTTCCAATCAACTTCAGGACCGTCAAGAACCGTCACATCAAAACAAACAGCTTCATGAAGCACTTTATAGATTTGTTGACACTATTATTTTTCCACTATTATATTTGTGACCCACTGAAAATGGCTCTGCGACCCACTTTTGGGTCCCGCCCCACCAGTTGAGAACCAACACTTTTAGGTTAAATCTTCATTTCAACTCGTTGAAGATGATTTTTTAAATCTAAATCTGCAGAAATAATTCAAATTTCACTTTTCTGACGACAGCAGCTCTTTTCAAAAAGTAACCGGGAGCTCTGACGCGTACTGATGTTCAATTTGAGTTTTTTTTATTGTTCTTTAATATCCAAAACATTCATCTTCTGCTTAATAACCCTTAAATAAATGACTTCTACATGCTTCCACTAAAAACATGACATTTCTTCTGCCTCTTCTTCAAACATGGAGTCTGTTTCTAACCTCAGCGCGGAGACGTCTCATTTTCAAATCCATGAAAAGCCTGAACATGTTTTAGTTTCATATGTTAACATGTGGAGACGCTCGTCGAGGCGCACACAGTGAAACACTTTGATATGAAACCTTCACAGAGTTATTCAAGTATTTATCATAAGTGAAGACTTTGACGCAAGACGTGATTTAACGTTTAGTCCGTTAATAAAATATGAACACTTCAGGGACAGGTGGAACATTTCACTCTCTGTGTTTTTGTTGATTTTCATCATTGTATTTCAATCTGCTCCACTGAGACTTTTTATGATCAAATTAACATCTTCAAACACGACGACATTTCAGATTAAAAGCCTCAACAGTGATGACAATAATCTAAAAACTGAAAGATAAAGTGGGGATATTTGTTGTAAATAACTGATAAACTAAAAGAAGAACAGTAACATAGGGGTCGTGGTTGTCCTTTCCCGACAATCTTACTTTTGTCTTTTTTGTTTTTGTTTGTCTTATTTTCATTTTTGGTTTGAAATAAAATAATTCTTTGTAAATAAAAAGATGAATAAAGAGTGAAGTACGATACAAAGCAGTGACTTTAAATCTGCACATTTGAAATATTTCTATTTGACATGTGGGCGTTGTCAGAGTTTCTCTTCACTCGGAGACAAACGTGTGGATAAAAAGATTTACAGCTTTATTCATCAAAACTTGTAAACTGGACAAATGTTGCACACACACACACACACACACACACACACACACACACACACACATGCTGCATATCAAATCCACGAGCTGCCCGGGGAGAAAGTGAGCGAACTATCTGCACGACTTCTTACATTTCTAAAGTGTGACGGATGAAGAATCAGAGTGATTCAAAGACAGCAGCACACGTTTCATTCCCACTCAGCGAGCTTCAGGTGACATCCGCTTCATTTGATGATTTTTTTTTTTCATGCAACAAATTCAACATTTTCTGCTTCTTTGTTTTGGATCTGAGAAGTTTAACAAAACGAGTCTTTTTATTGGACGAGTTTGACAAATCTCTTCCACACATGACGGCTTCCTGCAGCAGCACTGAGACGCAGATTTGGGACTGATGGGTCCTCAGGATGCTCGCCGTGTGTCTGCAGGTTTCCTCCCTCCTAATGTGTGTTTGGACTCTCCTGCTCCGGCTTTTATAACCCTGCACCCCCCCTCTCCCCCTCCCTCCTCCTCCTCCTCCTCCTCCTCCTCCCTGTCCTGCGTGCTCCCGGTGTCCTAAACGTGGCTAATCGGCATCAGTTTATCACGCCTCCGCATGCCTCCCCTCCCTCTCCTCCTATAAAAACGCTCACCTCCGACGTTGGACCCGGCTCTGTCACGGGAGATTACGGGGGACCGATTGCAGCAGACCGAATGTGGCGCGAGGAGATTAGCCGGGACGCCATAGAAAATAGCAACGGGGCCAACGGATTCCTCGCGAGGGGGCCTTATCGTGCAATTACACGTTGACACGTTTTAACCATTTTTCAGCCTCTTAATCCGAGGGCCCCCCCCTCCTCCCCCCTCCCTCTGTCTCCTAAAGCAGACCTAGTGGAGCTGAGGGAGCGCTCTGTCTGACTCAAACTCGCCCTCTTTCTCTCTTTATCAGCCGGCGTTAATACTTCATAACGCTTTTAAAAAAGAGCAACAATGTGAGAATAAAGTTTTCCACAGTTTGACTCCGGAGCGACTTCCACGACTACGAGAGCGAAATACGAGAAAGAGTCCAAAGTTTACGCAGCTTTGCAAAGACAAACTCGATTCAAAAAGAAAAATAAGTGAAATTAGAATTTTAGTTTTAGGAATAAATCATCTTTACTGGATTAAGATTGGCTGGTATTGCATATTTTACTCCACATTAAATCATCTTTTTGTAAATGTAAAGAGTTCATATATTTGTTTAATTCATTAGAAATAAACTTAAAGACACAGTTAATCTTAAAAGAGCAATTTTAACCTTCATTTCATATGAAATGTGACGAGTCATGACTTGTGATTTAGAGGATTTACAGAAGAGCTGCAAACAGGACACCGCTCTCTTGTCTTCTGTTACTTTATTTTTATTTTTTGCTGACTTAAAACTTCAAAACTGCAAGAAAAGTTCAAACTCTCCATCATCGCTTTGCTCCGTTATCTTTGTCCCTTCAACGTGTTTGCACTTTGTCGTTTTATATCGCACTCCCTTTTTTCAGAGTTTCATATTCATCTTCTGTACTAAGAGATTTCTTCTCTTCTGTTTAAAACTAAACGTGTCTTTCCATAAAAAGTATGAATCACAGCACTATGGATGAAAGATGTCAGAGAGCGAGACGTGCTGACTGGTGGATGATAAACCTGAGAGAGGATGATGTGTTCATGCGTGTTTGACATCATGTGACTCACTCACCGTTCTTCTGCCGCCCGGTGATGACACCTCGCTCTCATCCGCCTCTGAAACACAGAAAAGAACGAAGCGTTAGTCGTAGTTTAAATAGATAAATTCACGAACACAGAAATCGTTTCTATGAGGATTCTGCAGAGACGCCCGGGGAGCTGACATCTTCAAAAGCTTCTTTACTTCCACATTTTAAACCAACTCCAGGACTGTTCAGACTCATTCCAGCTGCATGTGCTGCAGACGCTGCTCAGAGCACCCCCTGCTGGACAAACTTCACAATGACACCTTTTCTGAAAACACTCAGCACTGTTTTCTGTACTGAAGAGTTCTGTAAGAAACGTCTTCATATCAATGCATATCAGAAAATACGAGGGGGAAATTCAGGTTTTACACTCACACACATACACACAAACAGGACCTGTGGACATGAAGATATTTAAATAAACTTCATCCACAAATACTTGAGATAATATATCAGATAATGAAGATCAGCAGGTAGACCTGGACACTGAGAGCTGAGAAGAGGCTTTACGCACCATTTTATTTTTGTTTAATCATCCTATTTCAGATGAACATTAAACTATGTTATCACACATCTCGTGCAGACCTTATCTGATACACATGTTCACTTCAATGGAACATCATTTTATGAAACATGTCCTCATCGGCTCTGATAACGTCCTCTTCTGAGAAATAAAACACAGTCAGACGAGTATTTGTTGCAAAGGCGTAGCAGCTCCTCGCAGTATTTAAAAGTAACTGAATGGATTTAGTTCTGCTTAAGTTTGAGTTGAAGTAAAAACTTGCTTTCATTTCTCCTCTAATAAATCTCCGTTGTGTCACCTCGACTTTTCTTTTCTTGCTTCCCGGAGTCAGCAGGCATCAAACGTCCTGCTCGGTGTGTTGTTCCACCATGCTGCTCAATTCAATTAGAGCCTTTCATGACAATCAATTAGGGAGTACCCCCTGGATCTCCCCGGGGGCCTATAATCATCACACACCGTCTGCTCACTCAGATGGGCACCAGGGAGCCCCGCCCACCACCGACAAGGACGCCTCGCTGCGAACCATGAGGAGACAGTTTGAGACTCATTTGAAGGCATTTTACTCCAGATTAATTCTCTCTCTCTCTCTCTCTCTCTCTCTCTCTCTCTCTCTCTCTCTCTCTCTCTGTGTTAAATGAAGATTTGCTCCTTGTACTCTTCTGCAACATTTTCCTGCACTGCAGCTGTTTAACAGTTTTAGTTTAGGAGGATAGAGTGTTTCTTTTTGTCTAATTTTCGGTCAAATTTAAAGATTTCTATAAATACTTTTCTATAGATTACATCCAATCACATCATTTAGAGTACGACCCGACTGATAGGAATTTTGGGGCTGATACCGATATCGACATTTCAGCCGATATCTTTCTTAGATCCATACATAATCTGTAGAGATAGACAGATATTTGGAAATACTCAAACAGCAACCGAGATCTTTTTGGATACCACAGCAACAAATAGTCCAACACACCTTTTTTTTTATTTTATTGTCTGCTCAGTGTTCAGATTTAAAATTGAATTATTCAGCTCGTGCAAAATGGATGACTTCATACTGAGTCCATAACAACATTTAATATCCTTTAATACTGACTACAGCGTGGGTAAATATCTGTCTAAAGTGATAAATGCTGGATAATGAAAGTCAGAAAAGCTGCAGCGCCTCTCTTTGATTCTAAATTCAGGAGCAGAAGTGAGGTCCCCTCAAACCAATTACCTCCAACACCACGCTGCAGCTTCTGGAGGGTTCAGCCTCTCTGCAGAATAAAGAAGGAGAGAGAGAGAGAGAGCGAGAGAACAGGAAACACTAACGTGATTACACCTGGAGCCGGGGCTCAGGTAATCACCGGAGTTAAAAGGTCTCCTGCAGGTCCAGAGGCCACTGAACCGCTGGCTCCCTCTCACCTCAGCCGAGGACAAACTCTGTCATTTACAAGCTGCAGGTGAGATCTGCTTCACCTCTCTGCAACCTCCAACCAGCTCCAACGGCAAAAAACACAGCTCAATTAATGCCAGTCATCAGCGAGAGGGGACGTAATTATTAAGTGATGTTTGACATGTGGAGACCTCTGTGTGTGTGTGTGTGTGTGTGTGTGTGTGTGTGTGTGTGTGTGTGTGTGTGTGAGAGAGAGAGAGAGACAGAGAGAGTGTGTGACACAATCTGGGCTGAAAATAAAAAAACACTACAAATCAAAGCGTTTTCATTCTGTTTTTCATGTAAATGTTTTATCACCATAAATGTTTCTCTGACATTTAAACATTCAGAAACATCGGCGTTGTTGAAATTTTTCGAGCACTTGAAGCAAGCATGCAAAGATAATCTCAATGTGCCTCAAACTGCGAGTCAAACGCTGTAAAACTGCACAAAAAAAGAGCTGATTCTCGTTCATTTATAGACGAGGTTCTCCTTACAGTCGATGCTCACGCAGGTCACCATGTCTCGGACACTGAAGCTTCAGTGTTTAGCCAGCTCTGCATCGGTCCAGATAACAGTCGCATACATTTTTCTATTTTTCATAAATTAATGACTTCCTAATTTAAAAAAAATCACGGGGTGTCTTTACTTCAGGTTTATTTCCTCTGCGATGATTGACACTTAAAAAAAAAAGATATTTAAAACATATTTTTTATCCAGGACAGAGTTTGTTTACTCACTAACTTTTTCTACATCCCTGAGTTCCCACCAGTGACAGAACCCCCTCTATCTTCAATTGGGACATGCAGTTTGAGTGTTGGTTTATTGCAGAGCATGTGTGTGTGTGTGTGTGTGTGTGTGTGTGTGTGTTTGGGTAAAACAATATGCTAATCTCCGGCATGGAGTGGAGGGATTTAGTGCATAAAGGAGAGAGAGGGGAGCATGCTTGTTAGTGATAGCCTGGCTCAAGATTCCTACAGACACCCACCTCCTTGATCCACTTCCATAGGCCTGTGCGTGTGTGTGTGTGTGTGTGTGTGTGTGTGTGTGTGTTAACTGTGCGTGTGTGATCTGTCAGAATATATGGTTTCATCTATACATGCTGCTTTTCCTGTTTCTGTGTCATTTGCGGATGTTGCATATTGAATTATCCCCGTGTTGAGTGTGTGTAGGTGTACGTCTACACATGTGTGTGTGTGCGCTGGGCTGTGTGTGTGTGTGTGTGTGTGTGTGTGTGTGTGTGTGTGTGTGTGTGTGTACAGGAGGATGATCTGTGTTGGCAGCTCGTAGTTGTGGACTCAGATTAAACGTGGAGAGGGATTCAGTCTGAGGGTATTTACAGATTCTCATTATAGCCTCAGAGTACGAGCACACACACACACACACACACACACACACACACACACACACACACACACACACACACACACACACACACACACACACACACACACACACACACACACACACACACACACACACACACACTAATCTTATCACCTATACAGCTTAATCTGTTTACTGTGATTACACCCAATTTGAATGTAACAGTTTTTTATTTTTTATAACCTGGTTTGTCCCTGAAAGTTGATGTTTTTATAAAAGTGCATTCAGAGGGTTAAACAATAACGAGGTTTTTTTTTTTGCATTGCATGCTGGGATACATGGCCCATGGCACTGTGCAAAAAAAAAAAAGACAAAGAATAAATGAGTCAGTAAATCAAAGACGTCGTGTGAGACGTGTGTGTGTGTGTGTGTGTAAACCTGATCTGACCTCAGCTCGTTCAACTTTCTCTAAATATGTCTGCCTTCAATCGTCTCGTTATTTCAATATAAAGTTTGAACACTTCCTCACAACATATTTTTACAACAACTAACAAGGTCCATGCTTAAACAGAGTCGTCTCTGGCCCTTTGAGTCGGAGTCAGTCGGGTTAGAAAGACACTAAATGGAAACGAGGAGACGTCGAGGCAGCAGGTGAAACCAGCTTTCACACTCCAAACTCATGTCAAACATCGTCAGGAGGAAACTTTACAACAATGCTTCTTTTGTCTCCACACAAACTTTCTCTTGTTTTCTTTAAAGTCGACGGCTCGGTCGGAGGAGAGGAGGAAGTGAGGGATGTGGAAGGATGAGAAAAGACAGAGGGAGGACAAGCGGGAGCATCCATCCTTTAACCGGCGGGGAGTTATCGCCCGACAACAGAGCCGCTCCAAACGCTTTAAAAAGCACATTTGAAGATGTATTAGTGCATCCTGAACCCACAGCGGCTGCCAACAGGGGGCTGCTCGCTCGGTCTGTGCGTGTGTATATGTGTGTGTGTGTGTTTTTGTGTAGCTCCCTCCAAATTCCCTTAGCGAGCGTTGCTAAGGTGCTTTAGGGATGGGATTAGCTGCAGGCTCATCACACATTCCCTAAGAGAAAAAAAAAGTACAGAGGAAAATAAAAGGAAGAGATGGAGTTTAGGAAAGATGGAGGGAGGAAAGAGTGATGGAAAAGACAGGAAAAAAGTTGTCAAGGAAGGAAGGAAGGAAGCGAGATTAGGAGGGAGACAGAGGAAAGGCACTAAGGAAGGACAGGATCAGGAAAGTAAACAAGAAAGGGGGAGAGATAAAAAGAAGGGAAGGGAAAGAAATGAAGAACGACTGAAAAAAGGGAGAATAATTTAAGAAGGAACAAAGCAGGGAAGAGGAAACGAGGATGAAAGGAGTAACAAAAGAGAAAAACTGGAGGGGGGGAGGGGGGTAGCCAAGGAAGGAAGCAAGTAAGGAAATAAAAAGCAGAAAGGAAGGAAATAAGGAAGAGGAAAGGAGGGACCAAACTGAAATAAAGAGAAGATTGGAAAAAGTACAAAGTACAAAAGTAGCAAAATAACAAAAAAAAGTAAAAGAGAGACTAAGAAAAGAAAAGAAAGAACTCAAGGAAGAGAGGAATTAAGACAAAGGAAAGAAGGGAAGGAAAGGAAAGGCTAAGGGGAAAGTTTTCAAGGTCCAGAGAAGAAAGAAGGAGCGATTAAAAAAAGTAATAAAAGACAGAAGAGAGGAATAAAAGACGCAAGGAAGGAGGGAAGGAGTGATGACAAAAAGCAGGAGAGTATGGA